CGGTATACCACCCTTCCGCACTGGAGTTCCGCTTTGTTCCGGAACTCCAGTCTTCTATCCCGGAAGTAGTCCCTAATAATTGAGACCAGGTGGGGGGGGACCCTGAAATGGGCCAAACCCGCCTCCACCTGGTCCCAAGGGAGGGAGTTGAAAGCGTTGGCGATGTCCAAGGACACCGCCAACACAACTCCCCCCCTCCTCACTACGGCCTCCGAGAGGGACCGGACGCGTAGTATCGCGTCCACACTCGACCGTCCCTCCCGGAAGCCGTATTGCTCTGAGCTGAGCGTTGGACTACTCCGGGATAGGTGCCGGACGAGGCGGGCGTGTATTATTCTTTCGAATAGTTTGCCCGCCTCGTCCAGTAGGCATATCGGCCTAAATGCGGAAGGGCTGTCCTCCGACTTGCCCCCCTTTTTGAAGAGGACCAAATTGGCCCTCTTCCAGGGGCTGGGGAACACCCCGGTCCTCAAACAGGAGGTGAAGAGCCGCATTGTGCGGCTCTTCACCTCCCCCTCCCTCATCGCCAAGGCCCATGCTGTGCCCGGGATGCCGTCGGGGCCCGGCGCCCTTTTCTTGGCGCCGAGCCTCTTGACGGCTCTGTCGATCTCCACCTCGGTGACCCCGACCGACTCATCCTCCCCGTCCGTGGGGGGGCCCTCGTAGGGGGGAATACATGCTTCTCCCCATGGAAAGAGGGCCCCCACCACTTCGTCTAGGAAGTCGGGGTCCAGGGACGCTGTTGGAGGAGGCGCCCAGTTGCGCAAGCGCCTCATCACAATATGATACGGGCGCCCCCATGGGTGCCTGTCGAGGGCGGAGACCAGTTCATCCCAGGCACGGGCCTTGGCCGTAAAGATGGCCGCCTTGAGGGCGCCGCGTTTTTCGCGGTACGCCCCCGCGGCGGCTATCCCACTTACACCATTCCTTCCCCGCCGGTCCATTTCACGCCTGGCTTGGCCGGCGGAGTGCCGAAGTTCGGCAATCTCCGCCGACCACCAGTACATGGACCGGCGGGGGTGCGGCCGGGCTCGGGGCATGGCGGCGTCACACGCCGCTGTCATTATGCCCACGAGCCCGGCCGCCTCAGCCTCAATGGCGGCCCGGGTCCCCGATGTGGGGCCCGGGTCCGCCCAAGTGGCCGCCGTTAAAGCGGCCGCCATCCTGTCGCGGTCGAGTTTTCGGAGGGCCCATTTTGCAGGTCGGGCGCCCCCCTGGCCGCGCCTCTGGAGCACCTCCTCTGGGGTGGCGACCAGTTGGACCACTATGTATCGGTGGTCCGATAGGTTTTCACCTCTGGTCACCACCCGCCAATCCTATATTAGTCGGGCCGCCTGGGGAGACGTTAATGTGACGTCGATCACTGATCTCCCCCGCGGTCCGACGAAGGTGCTTCTCCGGCCCCTGTTTATAACGCAGAGGCCGTGAGACGCGACCCACTCTTCCATAACCTCGCCCCTTCGGCACCTTGCCGAGGACCCCCACAACGCCGATTTGGCATTGAGGTCCCCGGCCACTAGGACCGGCCTTTGGGGGCGCCTCGACATGAGGTCCCCCAGCCGGTCCAAAAGGTGCTCGAAGTGAGCGAGGTCCCACGATGGTGGGGCGTATACCCCGACCACGTCTATGGCCCCCCACTCGACCGCGACGTATCCTCCCCCCTCTCCACCAGGGAGATTGGGGGGAGGTCTCCCTGTCCTCTCTATAGATCGCCACCGAGCATTTTCCACTCCGCCCCGCAACGTCACCCATTATGGCAGGGTGACTGCCGGGGACGGAGTGGGGCTCGGAGGCGATCCCCAGTCCGCAACCGCGCTCGCGGAGGGACTGCATAAACAGTTCCTAGGCTCCGCGAGCGCGGTTGAGATTCGCCTGGAGGAGACGGGTAGCCATTACGGCTTAGCACCGCTCTCCTCCAGGCCCTCCCCTTTCATCCCCGCGGGAGGGGGCCCCTCGTTGGGGTTTCCCCTCTCCCGCAAGGCTGCTCCCTTGCCGGCCCCAGCCCCCCGCGATTTCCTCTGCTCCTTGAGTGCAGAGCCCGCGGGATGGACTGGGGTCTCGGGTAGTGGTGCCCCTCCCTCTAGTTGAGGGGGGGGCTCCTTCTCCTTCCCGGGGGGTGGGGTGGGAGGCATGTTGGAGGCTTTGCGCCTCCTCCTCCCACTCTTTCCCCCCTTGCCCCGCTTTGCCATTAGGCAAGCGGGGCCTCCCAATCTGTGGCCACAGGGCCGCCCGGCGTCGCGATACACCGGGCATGTCGCCGGTGCCTCGCACGCCGCGGCCCTGTGGCCGGCCGAACCGCAGTGGTAACATAGACCACTGCGATCGGCCCTATTTTTACACAGGGCCCTGACGTGGCCCCACTCCAGGCATTTGAAGCACTGCAGGCGGCGCTTCGTTAGGGCCTCTACGCGGACCGAGGACCACCCAACCTTAATCCGTCCTCCGCTCGCGATCTTCCGTGCGGCCGGAAGGGGACACTGTATCCAGATTGTCCCCATCCGGTCCGCACCCGGGCGAATTGCCCCGGCCCTAATCTCGCCGGGCCCGCAGCCCCCGGCGACCGCCACCGCGGAGATTACGTCCTCCGCGGTGACTGAGTCGTCGAGGTCGCGGACCCGGATGTCGGCCCTCTTTGAGGGACGCGCAATTTGCACGTCCCTATTGTCAGCGAAGAGGGCCGACATACTTTTGGCCAGGGCATCCGCCCTGGCCTGTCCCTCGGGACCAGGGATCTCGAGGACCAGCGCGCCTGTTGCGGCCCTTCTGGTCCTGAGATCCCCGATCCCTATCTTACCTAGATCTATCTGGCCCCTCGCCCGCCGCATGACATCGGCGTAGCTGCCGTGGGGCAGCTCACCGTGACGGCGGCGGTACGAGGAGCCTTTGGGAGGACGGGTTATGTCCCGCCTCCCCCATCCCGCGTTGACCTCTTGTCGCCCTT